CATGAATAATTATTTTTTTATTCGCCAACTTTTAATTGAACTGGAGATCATCTTTCTTGAATGACTGCGACTTTTATCACTTCATTTGTTGATATAGCTTTGTAACTCTGTAAAAATTGAGATTTTAAAGATAAACAATTATTTTTAATTGTTTATCTTTTAATGAAATTCATGATTAAATACAAAACAAGATTATCTGCTGCTACTTAATTTACAAAAATCTCAGATCTCGATTTGATTACTCAGTTGATTCAATCTTCTGTATCATTGATCACATTCAGAACTGTTTGGAGTTTTTTATATTGCGCTGATTGGATTATATTTTATATCTAGAGAAATATTTCTATTTCTCGCGAAGATTATTTCCAAGAGAATGTAAACTAAACATGCTGTTGAACATGGCCACTTTTTTCCGTAACGTTACAATCCAATTATCCTATAACGATTTCGTACACTACTTCTCATCTGCGAATCATTAGGGAGTTTCTGCAATAACGTGGATCCAGATGCGGTAAACGTTATCTCTTTCTTAATTATTAGTTTTCTTTCTTAAATTAGTTGTTAAGAAGAAGATAACGTGACCTTAGCGTTCATCTTAGCGTATCTGAATAAATGGTATTACAAAAATTTTATAATATCTACGAATAGGAATTTCGCGCGCGTTAAATTGCGGCGCTCAGAGACTAGAGAGACGAGAACAAACGGAAGAGAAGAACGTGGGGTGCAAGAAGCAAAGGAAGACGAAGAAGAAGAAAGAAGCGAATCGAATCGAGAGCGTTCGGCTGCAAGCGAAGGTTAAAAGAGGGGAGAAGCACGCGTCCGCCACGCTCCCCGTGCACACACCTGGGACCAGTTGGTCAGCGAGAGGAAGGCCCTTCTACCATTGGCCCACAACCAAAATGTCCAATTATTAACAAATTATGATCGCGAAATTGGGGAGTCTTCCGGAAATACGGAAACGAGAGCTAGGCGAGGAGGATCGAGCGAGAGATCCGCGACTATATCGCTAATATCATCGACAGGCTACCCCCAAATGATTCGTCTTCCCCGAAAGATTCGCCTTCGAGTTATTAAGTAATATCTCGGGAAAGACTCTTAAGCAGCGCCTAATTGCTGGTAGACACGAGAATAAAATAGATATTATAGCTTCTAAAAAAATATTGTAATTATAGACAGACGGATAATCTTAAATTCTGTTAAAAGATCTGTGCGCGTGGAAGTAAAAGGAGCACCGCTCTTTTTAGATTGATCCGATAACATTTAAGGGCACTCGTACGATATCACGTCGGAAGAAGCGAAATTAGTGGAGCGAATTTCCTTCCCCGAAGACCAACCGTTCGTAGTTCCTCCCTCGCGATGGGGATTCGCCGCGTCTCTCCTGAGACCTTTCACGAGACTTTACAAGGCACCTGCCTCCCCATTGCGTCGTTGCATTTCGTTATGTAATCGCGTCGCACTTGATTCCCCCAAGTATACGTTTCCATATTTGAATCGAATATCGTCAATCCGTAATCGACATGATTATCACATAATTATCGCCTGTAAAATCGACATGATTATCACATAATTATCGCCGTCTCTTCAAGCAGTAGTATAAACAATTGCAGGACGGCGCGGCGTCACGTAGGGATAAATAAAATTGTGTTCAAAAATTGCTGTAGATCGTAATTTATAATCAATTGAGATATATTTTTTTGTAATCAATTGTTAATAAATTTTAAAGAAAACTGTGGAGTTAGATTTTTAAAAAAGACCTCCTGATGTGCAATACTATTAATAATTATTTTATTATTATTAGCACTATTAATAATATATATTATTATACATAATATAATACGACTCAAATAATAAAAATAAAAGAAAT